TATTTCTTTTGTATTTATTTATCAAATTTTTTTTATTTCCCACAAAAAAATGTATTTTAATTTAATATAATTATTAGTAAACTATCGATAATAAACATCACATAATATTAATTATTAATATTTTTTTTAAAAAAAACTATTAGCTAATCAATTCTTACTTTAATTTTTTTTTGATTGTAACACAAAAATAACCCAAATTTAAATCTATTTGTTTTAAAAAAAACGGAATGGAAAATGACAAGTGGGAACCGGGGTTAAAAGATTTATCGATTTTTGGGTATTTATTGAATCTCAATTTATGACATAAATTTGATGATGATATAATATAATAAAAATGTATGATATTATTATCACGGAGAGGAGGTTTCTCGATAATTATTGAATTTGTGCTACTTCTTTCACAAAATACACTTATCCATCATTATTAATAAAAGCAATAATTACGATTAATATTGAAAATCTTGTATTTTTTTTTGGGATCGCGTGGTTAGGTTTGATTAACCTAGGTTAAAAATATAATTATATTTATTTAACACACACTGTGAATGGTGTTTTTTTTTGTAAAATAAAAAATAAATTTAGTTTCTTCAAAAAGGATATTTTTAAAACATTATAAATTATTCAAGTAAAAGTGGAACTAAAAAATTTTGAGCCGATTCTTAAAAACGGCTAAACTCAATATTTTAGCCGAAAAATATAGCCTAAGCCTTGAGATTTGGCTAATAGATGTCCGAACCTTGGTTCCTTCTACAAACAAAATCTTCAGGACTTGACTTACAATATAGCCTAAGCCTTGAGATTTGGCTAATAGATGTCCGAACCTTGGTTCCTTCTACAAACAAAATCTTCAGGACTTGACTTACAATATAGCCTAAGCCTTGAGATTTGGCTAATAGATGTCCGAACCTTGGTTCCTTCTACAAACAAAATCTTCAGGACTTGACTTACAATATAGCCTAAGCCTTGAGATTTGGCTAATAGATGTCCGAACCTTAGTTCCTTCTACAAACAAAATCTTCAGGACTTGACTTACATTATTCTGGATGAAATAGTGAGTTAGCCGTGCCGCTGCCGTTTAACAACATTACTACAAATCCTAAAAATACACGATTAAATTATATTTTAAAAAAAATGGTTAATTTGTATATTTTTGTCTTAAAAAAATAATTCTTTTTTCTTTTCTTTCTTTCTTTCTTTCTTTCTTTCTTTCTTTCTTTCTTTCTTTCTTTCTTTCTTTCTTTCTTTCTTTCCTTTCTTTCTTTCTTTCTTTCAGTTCGTTACAATCAGAACCCAATTTTATTTTTTAAAACTATAAATATACGAATTACCAATTTTTAAAAATATAATTATTCATGTATTTTGGAAAACTTGTAGTCCCCATATACTAGTGTTGTTAACGATTTAAGCCGATTTTTGAAAACGGCTAACCTCAACATTATAGACAGGAAAATAATGCCCTCTTCTCTTCTCTCTTCTCTCCTCTTCTCTTCTCTCTCTTTCTCTTCTCTTCTCTTCTCTTCTCTTCTCTTCTCTCCTCTAACATTATAGCCAGGAAAATAATGCTTAAGCGTCCAAATCTCGCCAATAGATGTTCAATCCTATGTGCCATCTATGAGAGAAATCTTTAGGCTTGCATAAAATTTTCTCTGGATAAAATATTGAGTTAGCCGTTTAACAACACTAGTCCCACCCACCACCTCTGTTTTCATAGAATGAATTTTTTTTTTAAAATATTTTTAAAGAATTATTTATCGTTTATAATTATGTTGTGTAAATTTATCGATAATAAAATTGAAAATGTTAAACCTAAAACATATAAAATTATTCAAATAACTAATGTCGTCTTATATTTATTTTATGGTATAGATATTAAAAATACACCTTTTATTGTATTTACAAAATAAGTAAATTTTAAAATTTTTTAAATCATTTGATAAATAATTCGTTATTTTGTGGGGTTTTTTTTTTAACATTGACACCAATCCCTTTATTCCTTAAATTATAAGCCTCAAAATTAAATAGGGTTTAGTGTGTGGCAAAGTCTAGTTAAATCCCTTTTACTTAAGATACATCCTAAAGCTTAAAATATTTTTTCGTGGTCAATATAAAATAAAAAAGATACTTTTAAAATTTAAAAGAAAATTATTGTTAAATTTGACCTTAAAATTTTGTCGCGTATATTTGCTCACCCCTCCTATGATCGTTATTTAAATGAGAAAGACAAAATTTTAAACCATCCCACGTAGTATCTTTAATTTAAAAAAATAAAAATGAAATCATGTGGTCCAATAAGCCCTGAGATTAACACCTGCCCCCCCCATAAAACTGTTTTCACTGTGTGTGTGGCACTTAACTAAGTAAGGAAATAAGTATAGTTTTTTTTAGAAGAAATAAAGTTCACACGTGTCTATTTTCATTGTTTTTCACGAATAAAATAACGGCGATTTCATCTCCCTTAAGAAAATCTTGAATACGCGTCGAGGATGCTTATGAATGCCTCATAACCGCCATCGTAAAGACCCTGGTTTTGGCTATGGGGAGAAACTTTAGGGTTAAATCATTGGTGAGAGATGGCGCCAACACATTTGCATGGCTTAAAGGGACAATCAGCTGATTAACTATTCGACACATTTACTTCGCTAAAGGAATCAGCTGATTAAATATTAAACACATTTACATAGCGTAAAGGGGCGATCAGCTGATTAACTATTTTGAAATTTTATGTGTAATGGCCCAGTATCCATTTTATATATTTTTTTTTAATAGTTTATCAATGGGGGGACCTCGTCATTGGTTCTAAAGGGCAATGCCAATATCAAGGTCGATCACATCATTCCCAAACCCCCTCCAATCGTTCCTTCCTCTGGCTCCCCACCCCCCTCCCCCCCCCCCCTTCACCGCACATAAAAAGGTTTTGTTTTAAAAATATTATCTAGAAGGCCACGCAAACTTTTTTTTCTTATAATTTTTTTGTTAAAATTTTAAAATATAATATCTTTTTAAAAAATATATAAATGAAATAATAACTTACGAAGGTCAAAATCAAATCTTTCGTTCTTTTCTATGTTAATTTCTTATTATTTTTTCTTTCCTTTCATTAAAGTTTATTATTATTATTAATAAAAAAAAAATGTTATTTTATATATATATATATTTTAAATTTATAATTATATTGATGTATAACCTTTCTTAATGAAACTTAAATATAATTTAAATTTGTTTAATGAGTTGTGTGTGGCAAGTTAGTTAATTTAGTAAATAGATAGATAAGTAAAGTTTAGTGTAAAAGTCAAAAAAAAAAAATGACAAGAATCATCTTTACATTTATGAATTTATAGGAATATTTTTAAAAGACAACTACTTTCGCGACATATGGATAAGATATTTTAAATGTTTATTTGTTAAAATTGTCTAAATTTTTTGATATACTAATTTTCTAGCTTATTTATATATAAATCGTATGTTCTTTTAACCGTGATTTTTGCGAAAGATTTTTATAAAAAGTAAATTATGCGGAATATTTGAAAGAGAGAGATGTAATATGGGTGTGGGATTTTGGTTAGAGTCAAATTTTATCAAGTCAAAAAAAAAGTGCGGACATCATTGTGTTTGCGGGGATTGGGAAGCGTATATTATTTGGAGAAACGGAATCAAATAGAAACATTTTTTTTTAACTGATGAACGTTGACTAACTCAATATTTCATCCAGAAAAGTATTTACGCAAGCCTTGAAGATTTTGCTAATAGAAGGAACCAAGGTCTGGATATATTATCGAAATCTCGATATTAGGCAATATTTTTCTGGCTAAAATATTGAGTTAGCCATTTAACGACCCTAGTTAAGAGATAAATATACTTAAAACTTTATTCGGATATTTTAGAAAGAGAGAGAGAGAGAGAGAGAGAGGGGAAAAAAATGGCCATTTAAATAAGGAAAAGAGAAATCGAGTCTAAATATTGGGCTATAATTTAAAAGACCAATTCCTAAATGCTAAATTTTAAAGATTTTTGGGGAGTTAGAGGAGACTGACTATATAAAAAAAAACTTATGGCTGAATGTTAAAGTTGCTTCTAACAGTATTTCTCTACAGAGCTACTTCTAAAACTATTCCTTTAAGAAGTGTCATAGGTTTTTTGAAAGTTGGGGAAGGGTTTGATTATTTATCTTTTTTACAATATATCTAATAATTTATCGATGTAAAATAGCATGTAACTGTTAGGGTCAGATAATGTTTAAAAAAAAATCGTACTAGATCTAAATAGTCGTGCCAGTCCACTCTGGAATTTATATTTTTTCATCTTAGAGGGATAATACGAGGAAACGTGTGAATTCAGTTTTTATATTTATCGTAAACCAGAGTCGGAGGGGTGGTTTAAAAGGGTTTACAAGAGCAATGATATAATATTTAACATATTATATGGTGTCTTCATAATGTCCCAATGGGAGATTAAAAAAAAAATTAATACTTCAAAGTGATTTTGAAAGAGACACTAGACATTTAAAATGAAAAAAATTCATAAACCAAGGTCTGTTAAAATGCTTCAGATGATTAATATATATGATATTCGCTTACAGAGGCGTATAACTATCCTTAACAATCTCGAGGGCTCAATTTATTTATTTTTTTTTTTGCAATTTTGCTAAATGACCTCTTTATTAAAAAATTATTTGGGGGGTTTTTCAAATTTTTCAGGAGGTTTAAGCCCCCAGTGCACCACCCCTTCCTAGTGATGCTACTGTTCGCTCATAAATTATCGAAAAAATATTCGAAACCGTAAAGATATCAAGTTCAGGTTTCGGATGGTTTCTGAAAACGGATAATATCGGTTTCATTAGAACCTTTTTAAAACCGGGTTTTCGGGTTTGGATTTGGTAAATATTATTAACGGTTAATACCAGTTTATCGGTTTTGTTTTTGGAGTGAGGGAACTCCCTACTTCTGTTTTTCTAACGACCAATAATTAAATATATTTAATAAAAATATAACGTTTTATTATAGACGTTTCTCTGGTCCGAAAATACGTGGATAGCTATTGCGAGAAAATTTCTTATCGAATTTTCAACTCCTTTTCCGAAGCCCAAAAAAGAAGAATTCGTAATTATTATTATTTTTTAATCATTATGATTGTTATAAAATTAATTTATATTATAATATGTCATATTATAAAGAGTCGAAATGCTCTACTTCCGCATTTTTTAAAAAAAAAAAAAAATTATATCATTAAAAATGACAAAAATTGAACTCTGATATATAAATCTGTGTAATTTATGGCAGATAAAAGGGCACAATTAATTAAACTTATAATAATTTTAACTAATAATATGATATGTGTTAAACTAGAGAACCTGCAAGTGCGGGAAAAATTCTTTAATTCCAACTACGACCTATAAGGAATAAAAAGCATTTTCTTTAGTCTCACTCATGCCCAACCTGAAAATCAAAATATAAAATTATTTATCATTATTATTTTTTTGGTCATGTTTATATATTAAGTAAGTATAAATCAAACCATGATTTAATTAATATCGCTACCGATTTTAATTCAAAGCAAAAATTATTTACACACACACCCCTCTACCCAGCCCATCCCGAAAAAATTTTTTTTTTCCCCGATTGATCACAATAACCCGACCCGTTTTAACATATGGATCCAGTTTTTTTGGATTGGGTGAGGTTTTTGCGGGCCTACAAATTACGCCTAAAAATTGAACATTTCGAGAGACCACATATTACATTTTTAAAGAAAGAAAGATCCTTAAAGATGGCTTCTTACAATTTTTTTAAAAGATAAAATTGATAGTCAGTAACAGGAATACTAATTCTGAACTGATGATTCGTCCCCAAAATGTGTAGGGTGATATCGGGACTAGTTAAAACGCCATATAAACGGAATTATAATAAAAAGGTGTGGAAGTTATGGAAGATTTTCTTTTTTAAAGAGTGGTTTTTCTAGCCCTGATCTCGCCTACTTTCGTTATGACGCACGGCAGTGTGGGAAGCGTTTAATATTTTTTTGGCGGTGATTGCGCTGCTTATTTTTCCGGTAGCTGGCTCTGGTTAGAAACTTGTACGCTGTATCCTTGATCATATGTGTAGGGAGAAACCGGGACTAGTTATAAACGGCAATGTAAACGGAATTATAAAGAAAAGATACGGAAGTTATGGAAGATTTTCTTTTTAAAGAGGGGTTTTTCTAGCCCTGGTTTTCCCCTTACCTACTTTTGAAGTTCACCATTTAAAGGCTTACCATACGAAATTGCCTTTCAATGGTCTTTTAATACAACCGATTACACGATTACATTGAGTACAACTGACCTCAATGGTACACTCCTTATGTAATAAATGAATCAACAGTCTAGGTTAAAATAATAATTTTATTGATTTATCTCTAGTGATCATAATAATAATAATAATAACTTGATGTTTTTGTTAATTTTTAAAAAACTTATCCCTAAAGGAAGATTTAAAAAAAAAGATAAATTTCATAAGCTACTTTTAACTCCTTTCAAGCCTGATTTAGGTTCATAATTTTGTTAATATTTCTAAAATTTATATGTATACCCTCCCTCCACACACTCACAAAGCTTTCATATAATATCTAATATTTTATATGTATATGTTTATTTGAATTATCTCTCACTAGTGAAATTGTTGAATTTGTGGCAAAGGATCAAAAATATTCCCAGAGGTATGTTAACCCAAAAAATAGGTTTTCTTCAAATCGTTTTAGAAAAGTCTATTTTTTAAAAACAAAGAATTAATACTCAAAATAAGCTATATTAAAACAAACACTAATTTCACCAATAAGAAATAAATATTTCACAACTCATCTTTAAATAATATTAGAGCCAAAATTAACCCCACCAAGTTTAGATAATAAAAAACAATTGATGAACTAAAAAAAACACGAATTAATAATAGAAAACTGTTTTACACGCGATCGCTAGAATAATTAAAGGGACTCTTGTTTTTTTCCCCTAAAAATTATAGCTTCTGTCGCATAATTTAATAAAAGGATTCACACATTTCTACCAAGTTTTTTTATATTATAATTTAATCCATGACATATAAGTACCTAGACTGACGATTCATTCATTAAAATGCATTTTTAAGCGCCGTTAAAAGCAAATCAGCTGGACCCGCCATTTTGCTAATACATATAGTAATTATTCTCATGTTAACTACTATTAGATTGACAGCTTGCTTCCTTATTATCTCGATGATCCGGTAATTCTTTAAATAAAGTTTGCATCAGATATAGGAATAAATCGAGCTCTCATTTAAAATTTTAGTAATGATTAGTGTAAATCCAAGATGGAGTCTTCAGCTGATTTGCTTTGATGTACACTTTTAATGAGTGAATCGTCAGTCTAGGTATTATATATGTCATTGAATTTAATATAAAATTTTTAATGCTTTTTTTTGCTATCTTAAAAAAAAAAAATTATTTCCTTAAAATTTGAATTTTCTCAAAAATTGTTTTTTAATTATAAATTATTCTTTAATATAAATAGATTTGATGCGGACACAAATAGCCTTTTTCATTATAGCGTTCTTATTCTTTTTATTGGCGTTCATAGTGGGAATAGTTGGCTGTTGGAAACGTAACGCGTTGCAAATATTGGCTACTGGATTATTGATTCTTTTTGCGAGTAAAATAATTTTAAAAAAATTTAATTTTTATCACCTATTCGTTCAGAGATTTTTTCCGCAAATATTTTTGCGAGGTAAGAAGGGGAGATTCAGTGTTATTCAGAATGGGATTAATGGAAGAATTTTTATTTTTAAATTTGAACATTTTTTTTAAAATATTTTATAAGACTTGATTAATATTATAAGGTATATTTTTTACCCTATAAAATTTTACATAATTTTTGCCTATAAATTTTTAATTTTGAATAAAATTTTTAAACTCTGATTAATTTTAACACCCAAAATTTTAATAAGGTAGATATGTGAGCCATGGGGCGTGACTAACTACCTCATCACCACGTTTACATTTTTATAACGATAGGACATTTAAATTAATTTTGTCTTAAATATATATTTTTAATAGTGCGAATCTTAATACACCAAACGTTTTAACTGAAAATTGGCCATTATAAGTTTAACGAGAAGAAATTTTGCGGATTTTTTTTGCAAGACAAGATTGTAAATTTTAGGCCTGGGAAAGATTCTTTCTTCCTTCCTTCCTTCCTTCCTTCCTTCCTTCCTTCCTTCCTTCCTTCCTTCCTTCCTTCCTTCCTTCCTTCCTTCCTTCCTTCCTTCCTTCCTTCCTTCCTTTCTTTATAATATAAAATCAAAATTCGATTTGTATTATATAATCTATCTAATAAAAGGCGAATAAAAATTGCAGTTAAAAAGGGGGGTCCGCTTTGTTTCAACTCGCAAAAAGAATAACTAATTTTAGAATAATTAGAATGCTGAAGTGTTATACTTATGCTTTGCTTTAGACATTCCTTAACATCTTTTCTTATATTTTGATTCCTGTGATTTGTTTTTTTTTCTCTCTTTAGCTTTCACCTTTTCTGGTGGTAAGCTCCTTCAACATCTCTCTCCAATTTATGTTATTCATACAATCTCTTTTATCTATTTTATACTTCTTTATATTGGCTCTAACTTTATGGCCCCATTGAAGTTTTGGCCTTCCTCCTTTACGTTTGCCCATCACTTCCAAACTCTCAACTTTATTTCCTATGTAGTTCATAGGCCTTCTCATTGTGTGCCCATACCACCTAAGTCTGTTTACCATTAACTTAGTTTTAATGGGCACTACCTTTAAACTACTTAGTATTCTTGTACTGCGCATTTTATCCTTTCTTGTTACCCCAGAAATCATCCTCATCATTCTCATCTCCATAGTTTGTAGACTTCTCTCGTCTGATTCTTTGGTTGGCCATGTTTCCGAACTATATAGAATAGTTGGTTGTACTATGGAACTGTAAATTCCCTTTAATTTGTGTGGGATTCTTTTGTCAAATAGCACTCCAGATAAAGATCTCCACTTTAACCACCCTTGATTAATCTTACTCTTTATCTCTTTTTCTATTGTGCCGTTTGTTTGTATAGTGGAGCCCAAATATTTGCAGCTTTCAATTGCCGATATCTGCCATTCATTTATATCAATAGTCTCTGTTTCATCTCCTCCTATCACCATATACTCCGTCTTTTCTCTATTTACTTTTAATCCATGCGTTTCTAGGATATTTATCCAACTCACTAACCTTTCTTTCATTTCATCCTTCGTCAAGTATCACAATATCATCTGCAAATATCATATTCCACGGGACTGTTTAAATTGATTAAAAAAATATATATATAATTTGAGTCACTCTCTATATAAATCGCGCTTTTAGAATTATCCCAAGCAAATTATTATAATCATATTATCATAAAAAGCTCTCTTTGCCGCTGCCGCAACAGCAATCTTTCATGGAATCAAACATATAGAGAGTAACGTGTTAAGAGATGTACCAGAGAGTTTGACCACTTTTAATGTTCCAGAAGTAACTTATAACTAACTTCTGCATTTATTTACTTTTTAAAGATTTATAATCTATATACATATGTTAGCGTCAATGGGTTATGTTTTTTTCGAGCACCTTTTTTAAATTTAAAATTTTTTGATTTTTGTGGAAATGTTTTCCGGCACGTTTGGAATGCCCTAATATTACGAATCGCACATACCGGTAACTTTTGAGTCATTTTATAATTTATACGAAAAAATCGATGAAAGATTAATATTAAATATCAAAAGTTTATGACTAAAAATTATCCGAAATTTGGCGGGTAGGTATTCCAAACATGACGCAGAATACATTTTTCCGGTAAAATCAGATCTTTAAATTCAAAAAAAAAAAACGCGCTCAAAATAAATGATCTAACCTGAAAAAAAAACACATTGACGCTAACAAATATAAATGATATGATCATGCCATAAGAGGGTTCGGGCGAATCTGGAATTTTCGTAAATAATTTTAAATTTTTACAAGCCTGATTATGGCCGCATGTAATGAACCATACTTACCCCGTGTATAATTAGAGTAAGGTGTTGTTAAACGGCTAGTTTTTGAGCCGATTTTGAAAAACGGCTAACTCGATACTTCACCCGAAAGAATATTACGCAAGTCTGAAGATTTTGTTTGTAGAAGGAACAAAGGTTCTGACATCTATTATCTCGAGCTCTTCTGCCTAAAATTTTGAGGGTTAGCCATATTAAAAAATGGGCTCGAAAAAGACATCCTTTTTTTTTGTGAACTTTTGATAGTAAATTTTAGATATTGTTCCTTTTTTCCTCCTCTTCTCATAATAAACGCAACAACAAAAATTTTACAGGGTTTTGGTTCACACGTGCTGTGATACGATTCCGGTTAAATCAGAGTTTTTTTTTCTCTATAGATGATTTGAATGAAATAAATAAATACCCCCCGGGGTCTATGACGCGTAGTCCTAAATTCGCCGAACCCTTTATATGGTGTTGTTAATGAATGGCTCGTTTAGGAGCCTATTTTAAAAAAAACGGCTAACTTAATGTTATTATCCATAAAAATATTACGCAAGCTTGAAAATTTTGCTCATAGAAAGGAACAAAGGTCTAGACAGATATTAGCGAAATCTCGAGATCTCAGCAAATATTTTTCTAGCTAAAATATTGAGTTAGCCGTTTTTGAAAGTCGGTTCAAAACGAACGGTTTAACAAACTCTCTACCACCCCTACATATATAGGGTAAAGAAAAATTTAAAATTCAATAATTATAAATTCGCCTTAATTATATATATATATATTGTCTAATTGTGCTGAAGTGTATTAGCCTCTCATTGCTACATTTTAAAATTAATTAATACGTAAATATTTATTTTTTATAAAGTATTTAGTTATTAATAATAGCTAATAACTAAAATAATGTATCCCACTATCTAACGAATGATGAAAAGGTTATACGTAGTAACACGAAAATGAGATTTTGGTGGTCTTACATGCTGTGTTGGATAGGGGTAGGTTTGGCCCTTCTCTCCGCCCTTATTTTCTTCCTGACTTCTTGCTTTCTTCACCGAGATCAAAAGACAAATCGAAGGTTTATATTTATGTATAAGTTTAAAAAAAACATATATCTATATCTATAGTAATTGCAATCTCCCAACCCACTAAAAATGAGCATTTTTTTATAAAATGCAACATTTACAGATTTTTACAATTCTAAGTTGATTACCATTCACTATTTCCTTTATTTATTTATTTTTTAAATGGGTTTTAGCTTGCATCGAAACCTCCACACTTAAGAGATTGTTATTCTGATTTCGGATGCAGGGGGTTTAGATATTTTTAAACTTTTAAAAATAAAATAATTTAACACAAATGGTCCAGGTTAGAATCAGGTCAAAAAGAGACCGGGGTCAAGTAGTTTCTTAGCAAATTTAAATTTAAAAAAAAAATTAATAAAATTACATTATACTTTATTATATTTTGCGCTATTTCTAACCCGGTAAATTTGTTAGGGACAATAGTTAACTTTGAGATTTAATTTATAAACATTAATCACTTAATTGAGATAAAATACAATATATATATGTAAAAGATAGTAAAAATAATATATATATATATTTTACACGCCAAACGCGTTTATAACTTAGATACATGCACAACTACAACACGAACAAAGTGGTAGCAGGGGGATCGATTATAGCGGGCTCCGTTGGGCCTAAAGATCGTTACTTGGTGCCCGTTTATTACGATAACACTAACGCGGCGCCACCGCCTCCTGGGATGAGGCAAGGGGGCTACGATTCGGGCCGAGGGGGAAACACGGTTTATTACGATAACGGTTATTATAGGTCCCCACCTTCGGCCCAAGGTGGCGGTGGACCGGGCGGAGAATATTACCGAGCCGGCGATCGCGTAGTAGGCGGAGGAAACCCGAACATTTCTCAGGGTAATAGCAATACTGCCGGGTACGGATACGGTTATTACAAATAAAAAAATCGATTTTGAAAAGGAACGCCAAGTTAAGAGCTTGAAAAAAAAGAGAACAATTTTCCCTAAAAAAAATAGGAATATATATTTATTTGTTTATTTTTAATAAATCGAAGAATATTGAAAAGATGGAAAATTTACTTATTAATTTTGATTTTTTTTTTTTGTGTAAAAAAAAGAAGAAGAAAAAATTGGCCATTATAATTCACATTTTATAATCAATTTTGTCCGATTATTCATTATGTTTTATCAATATTTTCTTTCAAAAAGACAAAATATCTCTCCTTTTTTTCCCCATTAAAAAACCCTAAAATTTAAAATGCTTTTTTTCAAACATGGTTTTATAATTGTGTTTTTTTTAAAGAAATATTTCGGGAATTGGAAAAAAAAAATCAAAATCTAACCTTATAATTGCTGCAATTCCATTTATTTTGATTGGCTTTATATATATTAATATTATATAAAAAATATATTTTTTCGATGATTTGTATGCATAGTTTTTCAAACGATATAATATATTTAAAATAAGATTTTTAATTTCAATTTTAAAGTTCCCCTTCACAATCACATTTTCATCATAAAAAGCGACTTTTTTTTTATTTGAATCATCTCGATGTATGAATTCCCCGAAAGAAGATTAATATTAATAACAAATCCAACGGAATTTCAATATTTATATTGTATTTATTTATTTTTCAAAATTAAAATTTAAATATCCTATATTTTTTATTAATTATTATTACATTTATTACATAATATTTTTTTAAAATTTATTTTAATTGTATTTTCTTTAATTTATGAAACTTTATATACAAAAACAAGAAAAAAATTCAATGCATAAAAATTATCAATTTCGTTTATTTATTTTACCAATTAAAAAATAAATTTGTAAATATTTAAAATTTATGAAAAATTTTTTTTTTCTATTCATGTTTCTCTTCTCTTATCCAATTCTCTAATATTATATTATATGATTTTACTTGTGTGCTAAAAGATGTAAAATGAAGTAGATTCACAGGTTTATGTTGTATTCAGAATTTTCATATTTTAAAAAGATATGGTACATATGGGATAAAGTCGTTTAACAAAATATGGCTATGTTTTTTCAATTTTGAATCATTATTTGAGCAAGTTTTTTTTTTAAACTTAAAAAATTTCATATTAACGAAAATATATTCTATCATGTTTTGGATTACCTACCCTATAAATTTCAAGACAATTTCGCCATAAACTTTTGAACTTAATATAATTATTATTAGTTTTTCTATATAAATTATTAATGACTCTAAAGGGTAAAAGGCAAAAATGCCTACAATTCATAGGTTTTTTCTAAACATGCTGAAATACATTGCCCCTAACATACAATCTTACAAATTACAAATAAAAAAGGATTATTTTCTTGAGAGCCTTATATCTCCCATTTCCAACCAAAAGCTTGTTTACAGCATTCTCTGAACAAAGACCTAATTCCATCATAAGTAGGAGTAATCGAAGTTGGGATTTTTAACGCTGTAAAGATACATGAAATTTTTAAGGATATATATATATATATGTGGTGAGTTGCATATTGAATCAACCAAGGCTTCAACCCGACCCCCTCAGAATTTTTTTTTTAAATTTTTTATATTGGTAGTATATTACTATAACTAAGAAGAAGAAAAAAATGAAATTTCTCCGGACACCTCTTGTCCGCTTAAGATATGGGCGTTTAAAGCGCGAAAAAATGATACATTTTTGACAAAACGTGCTTCATTTATTTTCAAATATCTCAAGAATGTTAGAGCAAGAAGTTAAATTTATATAGCCTAATAATAGTTCTTTAATATGACATATAAATAAATATGATAGAAATCTGGTTAACATTTAAAACCGGATCTTAGACACGTGTTCAGCCCAGTCTAGAATTTTGTACAATTATAAAGCAGTGTGATATCTATCTACCGAAAAAAAAAATCTTTTTTTTCTATGGCTATTTCCCTTAATTCCATCATTATGTCATATTAAAGAACTATTATTTAGCTATGTAATTAAAATTTAAATTGTTGCTCAAACATAAAAATTTCTCGAGATATTTGAAAATAATTGTTGTCAAAAATGTACCACTTTTTCGCGCTTTTAAGCGCACATATCTTGGTGGATTGTGGAGGTCGGGCCTTTTATGATCTTGTTTAAACTTCCCTTTAACCAGCGATCGTAACCGTTTTGTCTAGAGCTGAAAATTATATTAAACTCTGGCTGTTAAAGTTTATAACGGTTGATTTCAAGTTTGTCGTTATAACGGTTCGTTAGCTATACGGTGAGGATCCCGACTAATGTTGTTAAACGGCTAACTCAATATTTTCTCCAGAAAAATGTCGACAAAGCCTTGAAATTTTGATACTAAATATATAGACCTTTGCTCCTTCTGTGAGCAAAATTTTCAGGCTTGCGTAATATTTTTCTGGATCCCGATTTATAATTTAGCCGTTCTATCATTAAAATACCTTATTACCCTTTTCTATTAAATATTCCCATTATCGCTTTGGCCTTCCTCTTTTTGCCATTTTCATTCACCCTATTTATCAATCTTATGTTTTCTTATCATATGACCAAATTATCAGTCACTACCAGTTGTTTTATTAATGATTAGAGCTACTTTCAATCACTTTTTATACGTTTTTTTTTCTTAAAAAAATATATCCCTGTATTACCACATCTGACATCAAGCCCAAGATTCTCATTTTTATAATTTCTATCCTTATTCCCGAGTTTCAGAAACCATAAAGCTTTGGTTGTACAAAACTTCATAAATCATCACTTTCATATTGAAGCATTGAAGTACCCTTATTGAAATACTTTGTCCATAGGATCAGGTAGGGAAAAATCTTTTAAACCAGAATTTGTGAATTTAACTTTACCAAACACATTTTTAGTCCTAACAAATATTTTTAAAGAAGTATAAACCTATATAGAATACTTTATGCCAAAAAAGAATGAGACAAGACAAAGGCTTCCATCTTTGAATGTTCAAAAGGATTGTCACACCAAATGACTCCGATTTTCAGTCTATAATCCATATCTTGGCAAACGAACGAATTATAAAATCCAAAAATCATTTCCCCGATAATTATTTACTTGGATCTGGATGCGTGAAATGTCATCATTCCATCATTTCTCTTGTGAATCAAACGGTTACATTAATATCTTATGTGTGGTTTTTATTCACTGAATTTCTCAAATAGAATATTCAAATTGATCTTAATAAATAAAGAATTGCAGAGTTTAGTTTAAGTATTCCTCCTAAGTATGCTGAGAAAGTTTTCTAATAAGTATCATTTTAAATAAGGCGCTGGTTTTAAATTTCGTCCATCAAAAATGGAGTGTTTTTGTTGTCTATCCTTCTTACTTCAATATTTTAATAAATACATAGTTTTATTACAAATATTTCGTTTAATTTGATATAAGTTGAATTATATAGGGAATCCATGTACGAGGATCTAAGAGACTTTGACTGCCTTAACAAATAATTTATATTTTCAAGAAATAAAATTATTATTGAAAATTGTATTATTTTTTGTATTTGTTTTAGAGATCTGCAAACATAGGCCCGTACCCGGCCTAAGTCCGACCCGGCCCAAACGGGCTTCGGGCCGGGCTCAACTCTATTTAAAATAATCGGGTTCGGGCCGGGTCGGATCCGTTGTAGATTTTTTTGAATATTTCTAAATTTATCAATTTTGTATTGAATTTTTTATGTAAAATAAAGATATTTGATTTTATTCATTTGAGTAATTATAAAGATTAATTTCTATATTTAAATAAATTTGGGACGGGCTGGGTCGGTAAATTTTTCTAAAAAAAAATTCGGGTTCAATTTTTTATTTTCAACATTTTCACATACCGTCGTGAGAATATGGTTCATATTATCTTACAGTTAGGTAGTAAGTAACCCTACGGCGTATTTTAAAACTGAATTTAGCGCAAGAAAAATTTCACGCGGAAAATAGGAATAATATAACATTCACCCAACAATTCCTTCAAAATACCTGAAAATAGTCGTAATAATTGTTAAAATATGGAAAAATTTTAAAGTAAATTTAAAGTGATATAAAAAAAAAAATATTTCCACATTTAAGCTACATTTAATAGTAATCCACAAGAAATGATTCAATATTTTTTGATTGATACCATGAAACTCCGGATGCAGGCAGCACAGGTAAATTAACAAGAAAATTATACTTTATGCCCAAATTTAACCAATAATTTTCGTTTAATTGTTACTCAAATTTTTTACGAAATAAACTTAACTATATCGATAGTTTGTGCAAAGGTTTAGATTGCAACCTTTGAATTTTTCTAAGTTTATCCGCCATTTTAAAAGAACAATAAAAGCCTCGTTCGATAAATAATAGGTAAAATATTCGGTCTATAACCAGCGTCTACATGAGTGGAAGGAGGAGCGGGGGGGGGGGGGGTTAGGAACAGTTTTCGTCCAATTTTCCTTGAAGAGGGATAAGGAGGTAGGATAAATTTTTGTGGGGGTTATATCTATTAAATTTTGAGTTGAAACAGGATAAAATATATTGCTGTAAAACTTAATACTTTTATTATAGACCCTGATCATCGAGCAACTCTATATACTTCTGGCAATCTTAGACATTATTTTATTTTCCAAATAAAAATTTTTGCTTAAAAGGTTTAGACAATTCTCAACATGCCACATAATGCTGTAATAATGCATTCTTTGTAAATGAGGGGGGTATCTTATTTGTCATTATCTGAAAAATAACTCCTTTATAATTCATCTAGATCCTGACAGCCCCGTTATCCCTTTTTTTCCGGCCGGGTTTAAAATATTTTTCCAACTAATTAATATATTTTGCGCTCTTTCCTCAACCCGGTAATTTGTTAGGGACAATAGTTAACTTTGAGATTAAATTTATAAGCTTTAATCTATAAATGTAAAATATAGTAAAATAATATATATATATTTTACATGCTGAACCCCCTTATAACTTAGATACATGCACCTAAGACACGAACAGAGTGTAGCAGGGGGACCGATTATAGCAAGCTTCATTGGGCCTATAGATCGTTACTTGGTGCCCGTTTATTACGATAACACTAACGCGGCGCGACCGCCACCGGAGATGAGGCAAAGAGGTTAAAATTCGGGCCGAG